TGACGAGGAGACATTTTGACATATAACTGTGCATTTGAACGTTTAAGCACAAGGCGCGAAAAATAACTCAAGTTTAGACTGGAGCTGTGAGCAGGTGCGTGCCACGCGAGTCAGGCTGAAACCGCAACGCGCGCATTTGCCAAAATGAATTCTGCCCCACTGCTTAATGTCCCTGAAAAGTTACATTTGTTTTTAAACCACAATGCTTAAAATGCGTTTAAATGAAAAGCTTAACCCACATCATGCCTCGCAAAACGATTGATAGGCTATATTTCTACCGGTTTATCTCTCAACCCATAAGCGAATATACTTTGTTCAAACACAAAAAGCAATATACATCCATCAAGTTGTTAACTTGTTAATCAAACTAACCTAAAATCTGTGCGGACAATGACACTGTGATTTTATCTGCTCCATGTGCCCGGTCCACTTGCTGTTTTCACAACTTCCACTCCATCATCAGCTTTAGTAAAATAACCTGATAGCTGGGACTCTCTAACTCATGTTTTCCCCTCTCTCCTCATTTTTTTTTTAGAATAACCCCTCTCTCACTTTCTTTTTAAAATAGTTTACATTTTTACTTATCGAAGATTGTTCTTTGCATGACCATTTCCAGATTATGCCAGAACGAAGTGAAGAGAGGTGAATGCGACATTGCAGTGATCACCTGATGGATAAGTGGTGCAGGGGTCGTTCAAAAGTAAAAATGTAGAATAAATGCATTTGATTGGTAAACTAAATTCAAACGAGACATTTTAATCTGTAAAGGTAATGCATGGAATATATGGAAAAGCTCCACTAAATAATAGTGCTAATATGTGAGGGGCGGGGCTTTGGCAATCTGCGTTACCGATGACCAGTCAATCTACTCCACAGCCAATCACGGGCCCCCTCCTTGTCCGGGCCCCGGGGCTTCAGCCCCGCCTAGCCCAATGGTTAATGCGGCACTGGGTACACTGTGGTCATAAAGGGAAGGACATGGTCAGCAACAATACTCAGGTAGGCTGTGGCATTTAAACAATGCTCAGTTGGTACTGAAGGGGCTTAAAGTGTTCCATGAAAATATCCCTTCACCATTACACCACCAGCACTTGCCTGAACTGTTGATACAAAGCAAGGATGGATCTATGCTTTCAAGTTGTTTACACCACATTCTGAGCATACCATCCGAATGTTGTAGCAGAAATCGAGACTCATCAGACCAGGCAACATTTATCCAGTCTTGTACTGTCCAATTTTAGTGAGTCTGTGGGAATTGTAACTTCATGTTCTTAGCTGGCAGGAGTGGCACCCTATGTAATCTTATTTTACTGTAGCCCATCTGCTTCAATGTGTTGTGCTGTAGCCCAAGGTTCAATGTGTTGTGCGTTCAGAGATGCTCTTCTGCATACCTCAGTTGTAATGAGTTACTGTTGCCTCAGTTCGAAGAAGTCTGGCCATTTTCCTATGACCTCTTGCCCACAGAACTGCCCCTCACTGGATATTTTAATTATTTTGGACATTTCTCTGTAAAACCTAAAGATGGTTGTGTGTGAAGATCTTAGTAGATCAGCAGTTTCTGATATACTCAGTCCAGCCCACCTGGCCCCAACAACCATGCCACATTCAAAGTCACTTAAATCACCTTTCTTTCTCTTTGAGTTCTCTGCACAATCTGACTTTGTTGCAGCCTAGAATTAAACTGCTGGTTTCGTCTGGCCAGCGGAGAACGGCACACTATTTCGACACTATTTCCTTGTTTAATACTGTAAATCATGCTTTGACACAATCTGCATTGTAAAAAGCACTATATAAATAATGGTGACTTGACTTGACTCTTCCTGATGTTTGGTTTGAACTTAATCAGATCTACATGCTAAATGCATTGCTGCCAAATGATTGGCCGATTAGATGTTTACATGAGCAGTTGATCAGGTGTACCTACATGTATATATGCTAATATATTAAATCGTTTTAATTTCTAATAGGTTTCATATATGTTTTTAGTGCAACTAAACAGAAATAACACAAATATGACTTTGTAAAAAACATTATCAATTGGCAGTACACCTTCATCTCTTAACTTCTTTTATGTACAGGTGTAAAGAATGGGTTGAATGGTGCACTGTCTTCTGGCCATGATGAGAGCGATGGATGTTATATCCAAGTCCCAAAGAAGTCCCCTGCTATGGAACTTTCTGCTCTAACCACCTCCGGCACCGTCAAGGCAGACCGTCCACGGAGCAACACCTCAGAGGCAAAGCTCATTGCCAAAAAACGAGTGATCCGAATGCTGATCATTATAGTAGCCATGTTCTTCATATGCTGGATGCCTCTATACTCTGCCAACACCTGGAAGGCTTTCGACCAAAAGTCTGCCCAGCGCGCACTTTCTGGAGCTCCCATCTCCTTCATTCAGCTTCTGTCCTATACCTCAGCCTGCGTCAACCCCATCATCTACTGCTTCATGAACACCCGCTTCCGGAAGGCTCTCTTGGTCACATTTGGGTGTTGCAGGAGCCCATGCCACAACCAGAGGAAGAGGAGGGAAGGTGATGATGAGATCACTGGAGTCACAGGGACGTCCATAACAAAGTTCAGTTATACCACCGTTAGCACGGTAGGACCGTGTTAGCATTAGCATTGCAGGCGTCTCCAGTTTGATCCTTTGTGCTTGTGACATGTACTGAGTTCAGATCACCAGATGTGTTCTTCTTTTTCATGGTGTCAACATGCTTTGTTCAATGTGCCAGTGTTCATTTTTATTTGGAAAAGAATACCTCATTTGTCTGGTCTTTCTGCCCAAAGTTGGTGTGTCAGTGGTAAACTGTCTTTCTGTAGTTGTGTCTTCAATTTATAGCATTATTGTGATACAATCAAAAGGTGTGGTGCACGGGATGTGCAAAGATGTAGCTATATTTTTATTGTGTAAGACTTGTATCTTTGATGTTATAGAACCAAATATTGCATGTTGCATGTTGCATGATCAAACACAAGACTACTCTTGTAGATAGCAGCTTTCCGGCTACAAAATGGTACATTTTCTTGTCTATTTTGAGTGTTGTGGTGTATCATCTGTTTTTTTGTTCTCTGTTTTGTTCTATGATGGTATCTTTGTCTTAATGAGCTTTGCTTAAATGGCACAACTGAGAGTCCTTCTTTTGTGTATTCTGATAATAACAACATCAGATGGTTTTGTAGGAGACAATGTTTAATTTGATCTCCTTCTTTTCTGATGCACATCTACTACAAGTTATCCTGCATGAAGATGTATCAGGTGGGCAAGGCAATTCAGTCGTCAACAGAATCAACGGTCTCTTGGAAATCTTCACCCCAGTTGAAGTGATGCCACGGTCAAAACTGCCAAGCTGCATGACAGGTTGGAATTTTAATGCTCTGGCACTGGAGATAGTGATTTAAAAGAAAAGTAATAAACCGTAGAGGGAAGTTTGATGTGATTGCCTTGGAGGCACTAATGTTCTAATACACATTCTCACTAAAACACTGCTAAAGAAAAAAAAAAGCATTCAGTCTATCTCACATTGCAATTGCTCTAATTGATTTCTTCCTTATTGGTGAAGCTGATGAGACACCTGGGATATTCGGCTTCTCGCCTTGCCCCAACGAACCCTCTCTGAATATATGAAAGGAGATCTAAGCTCTTGTTTGTGCTGAAATTAATTTATTCAGCGGTTCATGCTAAACATAAAAGCTGGATCTGGAACCAAGCGTTTTAAAATTCATCCTCAAACGGATGTAGCGCACATGAGATGTTTGTGTGCTTATACTTGGTTCATCTTGTTATCCACTGGATTGTTGAAATGCCTGAATGCCCATATTTTATACAAGTATTGGTAGCAGGGTTATTACAGTTAACTACAAACTAAAACAGAAATGAAAATAAAACCCTTAAACATTTTTTTTGTCACTTAAAAAAATGAATGTTAACTTAAATAAAATTGTAAATTCCAAGGCAACATTTCTCATTTTAATTTTGTTAAAAAAAATTTTTTTTACATTTTTTTTTGTTAACCTGATGTACTAAAATGACTAAATCTTAAATAAAAATGAATAAAAACCATACAGACATAATAAAAAAGCCCTTCCAAAAACTACAAAAAAACCCATCAAAAATTACTAAAACTTTACAATGAAAATGAAAACAGAATAATATAAAATATATTCAAAATATTACTGTAATAATAATGCAGTTGATGGCAGTTGTCATTTATGATTGATGATAAAATGTATCAGTTAGAAACCACACATTAGAAAAAAGTCATTTGTTATGCTAAGAATAATTTACTTCTGAGTAACAATAGAATAAAAATGCAGCCTATATAGGTATATGCCCAGCTGGCAAACGAGAGGTCCAAAACATGATTGCGTGTTTTTGCAGGCCTATTAAAATGGTTGTTGATTTTCAAATGGTTTTGCGAATGACACACTTTACTAGAATTATGTTCTATAATGATAGATCAGCTGTACGGTGGCTAAACGCTCCTTTTATTTGAATTATCTGGATTCATCAGCATTAGAATGCAGGTCAGAACCAATTTACTTATATGTGTACCTTTATCTGCCTACATAAATATGAAAATAGCATAAAATTATTAATGAAAGAAGCAATCTCTCTCTCTATGTTTCGCCTCTCTGCCCACCTCCTCCATGACTTTGGGGGTCAGCATCAGAATTCATAGCTTCATAATTTGTTTATGTGCCCCCCGGGATATACAGTGAACAAATACTTCAGTGCTCACACATGCCCGCCCTTCTTACCTCTTTTATTTCTGTCTGCTTCTCTCTTGATTATCACTCCCTTCTTGCAATTTTTCATTTCACCGATCAGTTTTCCCTCTCTCCATTTCCTCTAAAGGACCACCTGGGTATGTGGCAGACCTATATCAAACTAGAGTATTGGGGATAAACAGAAAGTGTTATTTCTCACTCAGACACACAACCTGTCTGCTAAGCAGTTGCTGTTATTTCTCTTGGTGTCAGTGACATCTGCCAAAAGTAACAGAAAATTTGAGTTGGTTCTTTTTGCAGGTTAGTTTTGCTTGGGTACATGATAGATAACATAAGTCTGGCCATTAATTTCAAATCGCTGCAAGTTACAGAGGATTTGGAACCTGTTTCCAAGACAACCATTCATATATTCAAAGGGGGTTTGATTCAGACAGAACACAACAAAGTAACAAATAGAAACTGATTGAAATGAAAACTACCTGAATAAATAAATAACAGAAAAGCAAAGAATTACATGGAAATAGCTTTAGATAATCAGGCAGATAACAAAGAACTACATTCAGAAATTCATCTCTTATCAAGCTGGACATATAGTGCAGTGTAATGAAAGTGCCACTTTTGATGTTTGGCTGGTTGGTTAAATAAGACATGTCACACTTTCTGACCTTGTTCGGAATTTTCTAACATGCTTCTGCTGTCTTCTGTGGCAGATGTAAACGAGCACTAACAGACTGATAATTATGCAGCGTGTCAAAGTTTGTCCGCTCTAGAGTGTTCTTTATGAGTAATTATCCTTGGCTAGTTCCCTTCTGAAATATAGATACAGACATGTGTTGTGTATTTCTTGGGAGTGCTTTGTAATCTGTATAATTTAAGCAAAACATTGTGAGATATTGAATTAAATATATGTACTGTCCTTGGAGTTTATGTTTGAACATCTTTGTAAATACAATAGTTCTTCTATTCTATACTGATATTATATGATAAATCTCTAAATATAAATATCATAATAGGGTAAAAAAATGAACGAGTACTTTTTTTTGTAATAGATACATGTTTCCAAATAAACCACACAAACAACCAAACGTACCAAACAGACAACAACAACAAAACAATATACATCCGATATAAAAAGCAAATGGTACTGGTTTTCTGCAGCAGAGAGGATTGTGGGACTTTCAGTTCATTCCATTTAAAACTCAATTAAGTGATAAGGAAACAGGTTGTTAAAATGCAGTGTATTGGCTAAAACATCACAATACACCATGGCCACCATAGCCTTAAATGAGGGAGAGAAAATATAAGACTGTGTGTGTGTGTGTGTGTGTGTGTGTTTGCATGAGTAAGCACTTGTGCATAACCATTGTTTGTAAGATTAGGCCATTTTTTGTAGCAATTTGTCCTTTCCAGTGGCCATTATCTAAATATAAATGTGGTTTATACATTTAGCAGTACTCCAATACAGTACAATACAACACAGTTCAGTGCTACATTGTACTTTGTAAAAGTTATGTGATATTGTCTTTCAGGGTTTTGAAATGTTTCATGTTTTTTGTTGATTTATGTTACTGTTTTTCCCATTTCTTACTTCTTTGAGAATGACAAATGGCACCAACAGATGAAAGATTCCTTTTTTTTTATTATTATTATTATTTGTGATTAGCTCTGAAGCAAACTGTAATATATAGGGTTGTTTCTCAAAGGTTAATACTTTGAAGTAATATTTTCTCACAGTGTTTCACTCTTTCATCTCCAGCTAGTTGCTGTTGTGATGAATGGATCTCAAAGGGCAAGTTTCTTGGCAGAGTTTTAAGTGGGTATACATGCTTTGTGCGTTGAATGAAAATTCAGTGTTCTGAAATGTTTGGACTACATGAGGTTTGAACAGAAAACAATTAAGTCAATGTGCAGTGTATATTTAATGACAAAGCCCATTTTAGATTAGCTGTTGCCCATGTCACAAATGAGTGAGTTAATGGGTCACTAATTTTTTTGTTATATAAATACTAATTAAAAGAAGAATCCCTTGAAATGAAAACCATATTAAGTAGTTTGGCATTATCTTTCTTATATTATGTCTTAGAAAAAAATCTATAATAATAATGATAATTCACAGCTTATTAACATTTGAAAACAAATTGTCTGCAAAATCATCTGGAGTGGCAAAAAAGCCATGCAAAAACATAATATCATTGACAGTCTCTGATAGCTGATAGCTCATAGCTCAGTAAGTCTTTCAAAATATCAGAGTTTGACCTTTAAAAAAAACATTAAGGTTAAAGAAATATATTATTACATTTACTTGATGGTTATACCACTTAACAATTGTCAAACTTTTCTTTTCATAACTTCTTTAACTTCTCTTAAAAATGATATAAAAGGTTTTAAGATAAAACCAATATGAATACAGAGAGTACATCTCTAAAAAAAAGAAAAAAAGAAAGAGAAAAGAAAAAGTGCCATATGCATTTTTAAAAAAAAAGATTTTTCCTTTTCTTACCTAAGTATTGATTTTAATCACTTTGCCTTGCATGCATTTTCTTTTTTGAGACTGTATGACTTATGACTTCTCTGGACCTTCTCAGAAGACTGTGGAAATCTTGAAAAACCTGTATCCTGTATGTTCTGTTTAATATGAGTATGCCTTGTCACTAAAGCTGTGAGAAACTCTATCAATGTCTGTTTCAAAGCCAGCTGATCTCATTATGTGTTTGATATATTTATAATACCTCAGGCAGCTTGTTTCGCAATATGTAAACGTCTTTGCTGTGTTCTGGGTTTGTAGTTTGAGGCTAAGGCTAAAATAAAGCTTTCTCTGTGCTGCCATGGTAATCTGTCTTCTGTTATCATGTCTTTGAAGCTCCCACTTCTTCCTCCTTCATCACAGAATGTTTATTCAGCTACTTAGTTCGCAGGTGATGTCTCACAGAGTCTGTTTCTCAGGGAAAGCCAGTGTTGTGACAGCACTGCTACTCAAAAGTGCTTGCGTCTTTTTTTGTCTGCACAGCTTTGAGCAACAGGACAAGAGTGTGTGTATGTGCTGTGTGTGTGTTATGGGTAGACAGGAGAGTAGAGAGTTTGATGGTGAGATGGTGTCAGTTTAAAACGGCTAAAGATTTTTGTAAATGACACAAAGGAATTGGCAACTTTATAGTAATAACAATAATAATAATGCATTTTATTTATAGCCTCTTTGGCTAAAAATATGCATTTTTTATTTATTTATAACCTCTTTGGTGACTCCTTTATATCAGTGATCTCAAAACTCAATTTCAACTCGCTTTCTCTGTTCTCAGTAGGGTATAAAGGGCATTATTGTATTGTTTAACATTTAATATTGACTAGATGGATAACATAATATCCATGTATAATGTTCATATAATCCCTCATACTGAACTGTTCGATTTCATCACACTTGTCATGTATGTAGCCTAATACATAACATTAAAGACACTTTTTATAATGAACTGTCACTCAAAAAAGCTTTCTGTACTTCCTATACCTTGATCTCATAAAGTATGGTACCTCTATAAGGATTGGCTACAATCTCATTCCAAAAATTCCCATATGCAAATATAATATATGCACATACATTAAATTTACATATATTAAATATATTGTCATGTGAAGTAAAAACATATATAACTGTAACAATTTCAGATATTAAAATGGCCTTATAGGGAACATATATGACAATGTCACTCTTGATATGTGACCCTGGACCACAAAACCAGTCATAAGGGTCAATTTTTCAAATA